AGAAGGCAGTTACTTAAGACAATCTGGAAGTCTCAGGAGGGATTGGGCTATTTGGAGGATTTCTGGAAGACTTGGGATTTGAAGTGGTTGAGGCAGTCCCAGGGAAGTACTGAGGAGAGTTGCCCTTGAAATGACAAGGATTCAAATAGGGTCAGGTGGTTTGAGGGCTTGAGACTTTTAATGGACTTGGGTAGGGGCTTTAGGGGCCTCTTGGCCCGGGGCTGACTGCACCTCATGGTGCTGATGGAGAGATGGCCATAAGAGCCTCCTGGAGATGTGCATCGCGAGTTGATGAAAGCTACGAGGGAGCTGGGTGAAGTGCGGATAACCGTCTGCAGGTCCAGGCTGGCGTCCGACAGAGGTGAAATGGACAGTGCCCGCTTCTTGGTCAACTTGACTGCACTCCGGGGAGAAGAAAAGAGTGGGCCTGGGGCAGGAGACAGGGGAGATGGATATGGTAAAGGGGCATGTCTCTCCACACACCTAACCTATAGGTCCTGACTTGGCAAAACCAATGAGACTTGATTCTGCTTTGCCCTACTGATCCTATCTGTGACTTTTTTTTTTTTTTTTTGAGACAGAGAGAGAGAGTCACACTCTGTCACCCAGGCTGGAGGGCAGTGGTGCCATCTTGCCTCACTGCAACCTCCGCATCCCGGATTCAAGTGATTCTCCTGCCTCAGCCTCCCCTGTAACCGGGATTACAGATGCACACCACCACACCCGGCTAATTTTTGTATTGTTAATAGAGATGGGGTTTCACCATGTTGGCCTGGCTAGTCTTGAACTCCTGACCTGAAGCGATCTTCCTGCCACAGCCTCCCCCTAAAATGTTGGGATTACAGGCGTGAGCCACCACGCCCAGCCCCATCTGTGATTTCTTGATGGTGCTCTGACACCTCACATCTCCAAACATCTCCTCCTCCAAGTGAGATCCCCTGCCCTCCCACTTTCTCTTTCAGAACAAGTCAGAGAGGGGCAGAAAGGGGAGAGGTGTTGCCTGAGTCCTCACCCTCGGTGCAGCTGTTGGTCTCTCTGACTGGCCCATAACTGTGGGGGCCAGACATGAGGTTAGCTTGGTGGCAGAAGGGCAGGCCAGACAGTCCTAGAAAAAAGAGACAGCTGGAATGGGAATGGAGGACATGTAAGCCTCACCTTAAAACCCCAGGCAGGACCTGATCCCAGGATTCCAGGTCCATATGACATGGGGCCTCAAATCTTGTAGATAGGAAACTGGCATGGGGCGGGGATGGGCCCAAGTGGGAGATCTGCCAAATCCTCAAGGCCCAGGAATTGGTATATACACTGACCTTCTGTCCCCACACTGGGGGCCCCCTGACTGGGGAGGGGCCGGAGACAGCAGGGCTCGCCATAGCTACTGACTGGTGGTGGGGTCATCGAGTTGAACATGGCGTCTCAGAGGAGGGTGTGGGGACACTGCAGAAAGGGAAGGTAGTTATGAAGGTGGAGGCAAATAGAGACGGTCAGACAGCAGTCTCAGGCACTGAATCCTGGGCACAGCATCCCTGGTGTCCCCAGCCCCTCTAAGACATCTGCCACGGAAATCGAGTTGAAAAGAGCATCACTGGGCCAGGCACGGTGGCTCACGCCTGTAATCCCAACATTTTGAGAAACTGAAGTGGGCGAATCACCTGAGGTCAGTTCAAGACCAGCCTGACCAACATAGTGAAACCCCCGTCTCTACAAAAATACAAAAGTTAGCCAGACATGATGGTGGGTGCCTGTAATCCCAGCTACTCGGAAGGCTGAGGCAGGAGAATTGCTTGAACCGGGAGACAGAGGTTGCAGTGAGCTGAGATGGCACCACTGCACTCCAGCCTGGGTGACAGAGTGAGACTCCGTCTCAAAAAAAAAAAAAAAAAAAAAAAAAAAGCGTCACTCAGCCAGGCAAGGGGTAAGGGGAAATGTCCCAGAGAGGCAGAGGGAGTCTTATAGTCTGTGTAGTCTGGGGATCTTCTTGGGAACTGGTGGGAGCTTTGCCTGTGTGGTCTGTGTGGAGAGGGCATGTTTTGGATTAATTGTGCCTATATTAACTTCAAGTTATTTTAGTAACATGGACCCTCTAATTCTTCTTGTTCTAACCCTGGGCCGGCTTTGAGGGGTGGGATGGAAGAATACGTGTGATGAATCTGACTTCAAGCACTGGGCCGCTCTGCTTGAGCCTGTTTCTCTTCTCATACCCCTCTTCGGGGACAGCCCGTGTACAATCTCTGCAGTGTCCAGCAGAGGGAGCCCTAGCCACAGTCCCGACAGAGAGGCAGGTGGGGCCAGGAGGCAGCACAAACGATCTGCCCTCTTCTTTTAGACAGAAAACTGTGTGGAGGAGGAGGTAAGGTTCCTGAGGGGTCTCCTGAGTCTGTTGAGTACAAAGGTGAAAGCTGGTGTTATTCTGGGGTAGTTTAAATCGGGTCCAACTAATCTTTTTGGTCTCTGTTTTGGGGGAACAGGAAAGAAAGTATGAGGGGAGACTTGAGAGAATGAAAAAAACAATGTCGTCGTTATAAAAGAGCAGCGAGGAAGAAGGTGCTGCGGTTCGTTTTTCTCTCCAAACTCCAGTTTTGATTCCATCCCGGGTTTTCCGGTCTCCCGAGAATGAGGGTGGGGTGGGGCGGGGTGGGGTGGAGAACCACCGGGAGCGGGCCGGGCCGGCCGGCGCGGTGGGTGATCCCGGGATGCTGGGATTTAGGGTGAGGGCGGGGTGAGATGGGGAGCGGAACCCGGACCCCGCGACCCAGTCCGAGCCCGGCAGCCTGGGCTGTACCCTTCCTAACTCCTCCTTTTCCAGCCGAGATGCGGATCCCGCATCCAAGACCTCCCAACTCGACCTTGGCACTAATGTTGGGGGCGGGGGGCACAGCTGGCTGGCAGCTGGATGGGGGGACACTTCTCCCGCCTCCTTCCCTCTATGACTCACCCAGGGGAAGGAGGCAAGTTCGCAAATGATCCCCCAAACACTAGAGACTCCCCTAAACTTGCCTACTCAGTCATCTTACTGCCCAGCCGCCGAAGAGCCTCCAAGGAAATGGGGCGACATCCCTCCTCGCCCACGCGTGCCACAGCCCACCCACATCTCCCCTTCAGACTAGTAAAAGGAAAATGTTGCCAACTTTTTTAGCTTCGGTAAAGTTTTTCTGGGGTGTGAGAGTTCGGGATGGGACAGGGAGCTCTAGGGATCCCCTGCCGGAGCCCCAAACCATCTTCGGTGTCTCCCTGTTTTCCAGCGTCCCCCTCGCACCCCCGCTCCCCAACTCCCAGGAGTCGGCTCCGCCCCCCTACTCCCGGTCCCGCCTTCCCCGCCCCCGTGCCTCCTCGGCCCACCCAAGTCGCCGCCGCAGGCACTGGCTGCAGACGGCTCTGCTCCCCCCGCCCGCCCCGGGAGCCCAGTCGAGCGAGCCGTAGGGGTGGGGGCTGAGGGGCGGGACACATTCTTCCCTCCTCCTCTCAGCGCATCCGGAAAGCAGGCAGTGGCGCCCAGGGGGGCACTACTGGAGAGTGGGGGGTTCCCGTTGATGAGGTGAGAAAGGGAGAAGAATCCAGAAAGTATGGGGGAGAGAAAGGAGAGAAAGTGACTGGGTCAATAAAATTAGGTGTGTATGGGGAGGAGGAGTGGCCAGGACACCTTAGGTTCCTGGTTATCGCAACTGGCTTCCCAAGGGTTAACCCCTCCAGACCCCCGGGAACCCCCTGGTGACGTCAAGGGCGGGGATGCCAGGGAGATAATGGTGGAGGGGGAGAGGTCTCTGGACCCCGCCCCCTAGGGAAAACCACCCTTATTCCGACCCTTACATCTCCCCCGGGAAACCGTCCGCCTTCTCCCTCTACTGGAACGTAAAGACCTATCCTAGAAGACCCCAGCTCTCCAGAACCCTAAAACCCTCAGTCCCCAGGCTCTACGGGGTCCCCTTTCCCTAATCCTGTCCCGAAAGCTAGCTGCCCAAGGCTGATTGTTTCGGGGTCATGGGGCCTGAAAGAGGATTCAGAGCGGGGAGCAAGGGCAGGCAGGGTGGTCTGAGCCAGAGGAGGGGCCTCGATCCCCAGCTCCCGTTTGGGCGGGGGGCCAACGGGGATACACAGGCTGGCAGTGGCCAGTGGTCCCGCCCAGCCCCGGTAGGGGTCTCCCTGCCGCTGGCTCCCGCTGCCCCGGTGGTCCTAAGTTCAGAGGGTCAAGACAAGGTCTCCCCGGCTCCTCCTGAGCGCCTTGCCCACAGGCCTTGGGACTCAGGAGTCCAAAATTGCCTGGAGTCATTCTAGGGCCTTCACTAGACCTTGGACAGCCCCCACTCCCAGACCCCTTCCTAGTCCAGAAGACACTCCTTTCCCCCAAAACACAAGCATCCACTGGCACATCTGTCACAAGACAGGTCAAGGATTCAAGCCTGGCTGGCCCCTAGTAGTTCTGTTGCCTCCCACACACCCGTCCCCACCCCACCTGGAGCTCCCTCCTTTGCAGTCCCCTCCTTTCAGGAACACTGACGTCTTCCTGCCCCACGCGCAGACACACACCTGGAGTTCCCTCTCTACAACGCAGACCTCCAACTAGCCATCCCTCCAGCCTCTTCAGCTCAACCGCATGAAAGTGAGATATTTCTAATATATAGGAGAGGCTGAGACAAAGACCCACGGTTCCCTGAGACAGAGATACACAGACAGAAGAAAAAAAGGAAGAAAAAGAAGATTTAGAGAAAGATACAAGTGATAAATTTGGAGTTTCTAATGTCTCACTCCAGACTCTCCCACCCCTATCTTGCCTCTATGTCCCGGGTCTGGGATGAGTCCCTAGGAAGCTGAGCATCCCCTCAGGCCCCCTCCCCCACTGCTCCCAGGTGGTCCCCCGCCTGCCCCTCCTTCTCACCTCTGTCTGGGCGCTGGGCTCGGGATGCGCGGTCCAGGGCTGGAGTCTGGGCTGGGGGGTGTGCGGTGGGGAGGGGGGGCGGAGAGGGCCACGGCAGCGCAGCCTCGGTGCCACCCCCACCCCCCCAACCTGGCCCCCAGCCCTCCCGCCGGCCCAGCCCGCCGGGCCGCAAGCCCGGACCACCCGCGAGAAGCGCAAACTTTTTTTTTCCCTTTTGCAAAAACTTTTTCTCGCTCCAGCCGCTGGCGCGCCGCCGCTCTTCCCGCTCGCCCCTCACCTCCCTTCTATTTCCCTCCCTCTTGCCGTTCTGGAGGATGAGGCGGGGTAGCTGGAAGCAAGAGAGGGGGTGCCGGGCTTATTGCACCCCCAGGACCCCCAGGATCCTCCCCCTCCCTTGAGGGACCCTATACTGCCTACGCCCCCCCAACCCCTTCCCCCCCCCCGCTGAACACGCTGCTGTTGGTAGGTAGTAAATCCCGGCTTGGATTTTTGGATCGGCTGGTCCCAAAGAGGCTCCCACAACCAGATTGAGGAAAATATTGCAGGGCAGGGGGAGTTCAACCGAGAACGATAATAGTGGAGGTGGGGTAGTCGCCTTTGGTTGGTGCTAACTGAGCATTCTGTCATCCTGTGGTTTATCGGCAGGCCTCACCCTTTGGATGGAACTTGGAGCTGCTGGGGCAGAGCTGGGGTTTGGGGCAAATCAAGTTGAGGGGTTGGGGGCTCTGGCAGAAGGTGAGGAGTCTCTGGAGCATAAAACCAAGGAGCAGCGGCTGAGGCTCTGGATGCAGGGTGTGTGTTCATGAGGTCACCAAGGAGCACTGGGACTGAAGCCCCTTTCCGGGGAACCCCGGCTCTGCGTCTCGAAGTTCTGGAGACTGAGGCCCCTCTGCACCACGCCACTGCAGGCTCTAGCCGCTCTTCCAGGCTTTCTACTCCCTCTGCTGGCCATTCTCACACATGACACCCGCTCGGAGTCGAAGCAGAAGAGCTGGGGGAGCTGAAGGAGGAGCCCAGACAGGTCCCCTCACTAAAGCCCATTTAGAAGCCCAGGAGGTGGATAGGTGAGCTCAGAGAAACGGAGAGGCAGAGATTGCTATGCCCAGCGGTACTGCCTGACAGGGAAGTGTCCTGCCTCTTTAGATTTGCGTTGCCATCGTGACTGGATATAGGGGAGGGGCAGCATTTCAGTCTCTGATTTTTATGAGAAAGAGAAGAAAGCATGATAGAGAAAAGGAGCACCCTCTCCCCTTTTTTTCAACCTCACAGGCAGACCTCCCACATTCTAGCTCTGCTTCCAAGAACCACCCCCTTGGGTCTGGAAGGTCAGTGGGTTAACTGTTCTGTCTGAGAGTCAAGGGGGAAAAGAAAAGGTGAAGGTAGGAGGAGGTCAGGGACTTTGACCCAGACTAGTTATCCCCAGAGGGTCAGAGACCCAGCTTAATCAGACCAGACTAATGGTCACTGAAAAAAAGGCACCCCACATGCTCCTGTCCCAGCCTCAAGCCCCTTCTTCCAGAGGAGCTATTTATGTATGTAGGTATGTATGCATTTATTTTTGTTTGGGATGGGGTCTCACTATTTGCCCAGGCTGGAGTGCAGAGGCTATTCACAAGTGTGATCATAGCCTTGAACTCCTGGGTTTAAGCGGTCTTCCCACCTTAGCCTCCCAAGTAACTGGGACCACTGGTGCCCAGCAAGAGGAGCTCTCTTAGAACACGTTACTTTCTTCTCCCCACCCAGTTCTGTAGACCAGTGAGTCTCAAACTTTTTGGTTTTCTCTATACTCTTAAAAGTCATTAGGTCAGTCACGGTGGCTCAGACCTGTAATTGCAGCACTTTGGAAGGCCAAGGCAGGCAGATCACCTCAGGTCAGGAGTCCGAGACCAGCCTGGCCAACATGGCGAAACCCTGTCTCTACTAAAAATACAAAAAAATAGCTGGGCGTAGTGGTGCAGACCTGTAGTCCCAGCTACTTGGGAGGCTGAGGCAGAAGAATCGCTTGAACCTGGGAGGTGGAGGTCGCAGTGAGCCGAGATCACGCCACTGCACTCCAGCTGGGTGACAGAGTGAGACTCTGTCTCAAAAAAAAAAAAAAAAACATTCACTACATTAGAAATTAAAACTGAAAAAGACTAACACAAGACTATACAAGCACACATTCCATTAACAATGATGTCAGAAAGATGATGTAATCACATGTCACACAGCCTCTGGAAAACTCCACTGTACAATTTTAAGATAATGAGAATTCAAAAGGCAAATAACATGTTAGTATTATTATGAAAATAGTTTTGACTTTGTGGACACCCCTGAAGAGGGACCTCCCAGAAGCCTACGGAACACACTTGGAGAACTGTTGCTCCGGACCATCACCTGAACCCTTCTTTATGAGTCACATTTATTGATTTTCTTTCTCCTTTTTATTAAGAAAGTATAAGCCGGGCGCGGTGGCTCACGCCTGTAATCCCAGCACTTTGGGAGGCTAAGTCGGGTGGATCACGAGGTCAAGAGATCGAGACCATCCTGGCCAACATGTTGAAACCTCGTCTCTACTAAAAATACAAAAATTAGTGGGCACCTGTAATCCCAGCTACTCAGAAGGCTGAGGCAGGAGAATCACTTGAAACTGGGAGGCGGAGTTTGCAGTGAGCCGAGATCGTGCCACTGCACTCTAGCCTGATGACAGAGCGAGACTCCGTCTCAAAAAAAAAAAAAAAAGAAAGGAAAAATAAAAGAAAAAAGAAAGTATAAATGCTTGTCTCCCAGTGGGTCCTGTCCCCTGGGAAAAACCTGGGAACTTCTTAGGCTTAGTACCTCTCTTTCCTGACTCCTGTTTCTGGGGGTCCTCTAAGCATCCTCCCTCAGCGTCTTGCCCATCTCCCTCTTGACCCTCCCTTAAGGCGCTTCAACAGGCCTTACCCTGGGCCAGCCTGCTTACCCTGCTTCAAGCCTGCTGGACCATCTATCTGCTTCCTCCTCCCCTCACTTGAGGACTTTCTCATCTTGGGAGCGGCTAATTTTTCTCTGTCTTCCCTCCCTCCCTCCCTAGTCCCTGACATCTTACAGGACTTAGGGCAGGAAAATCATGCTTTCTGAGTAGACCCCTTTAGAACAAATGCTTTACCCATCTGCCAACACATCAGCCAACCTGGAACAAGCCAGAGTCTCAGACAAGAAAGTGCCCATTTGGGTTCCATAGGGGTCAAGTGAGTCATATTGCCAGGTGGTTGTTGGGTTGGGGTGTGGATCAGGAATCTGATGCCTCCAGCCGCAGATGCCCTGTGCCTGGGAAACTTCATCTTGGTCTCTTCACTCCAAAGTCCCAGGTCCTCTTGCTAGCTGCAGCCACAGGCCTCCACCACCATATCTGGCACATCCGTCTTGACCACATTGCCATTATGATCCAGGTAGAGGAGAGAAAGGGGCCTTCGGGCAGTAGGGACACAGCAGGAGGTACTGGCAGGCCAAGGATTGTTGGCTTTGAGGAGGCTGAAGACGGCAGAATGGAAAGAGGCAGCAATGCCCGGGCTGCCAGCCAGGTGGGGAGGGCACTGCCCACTGCAGTAATTCAGCTGGTACCCCTCGGGCTGCAGTATCCAGTCCCGCCATCCCAGTTCCTGGAAGTCTACGTAATGATCTCGCCTGCAACATAAGGGGGTTGCAGGCTCACAGGTGGGGGTCCTCCTCCTGGCCCGACCTGCTCCAGGCTCATTGGCTCGGATCTTAAGCTCTAGGAAGGGCTGCTGGTGTCCTGCTGTGTCCAGGAGCCGCCTTGGTTGTCCAGTAACTGTGCTGTTGTTGCCTTCTAGGGGTCTGCAGTCTAGTTGCAGTTTCAGGACACCAGACTTCTCACCCCTCAAGCCACTAGAGGGCAGAGTTAAGGCATGCCAGCCCAGGTTGGTGATGTGGTGCTCAGCCAGAAGGGTGCGGGACCCTTGGTGCCTCCTCCTTGGTCCCCATCGGAAGATCCTCAAGCAAAGAGTGCCAGAAAGGGTGGGGAGCATGTGCAGCCACAGGCGGGCATGGTACAGGTGATGGGACTGAGGAGTGGACAGGTGAAAGGTAAGCAGGGAGCTGTAGGCTGAAGTGGAGTCTGCCCGAAAGACAGAGAAGGGAAAGAAAATGTGAGCAGAGATGAAGCTCTCCTCTGAGACTCCCCGAGCCCTGCCCACTGATCTCCCTCGAACCCACCTTTAGAAAAGTAGAGATTGCTTTGTGTCCTCTGCAACCAGTCCCTGCCCCACCTCCTCCTTCTCCTGCCACACCCCACTCCCTCTGGTGCTCCTGCCAGGCTCCCCTTCTGCCTCCCTTTACCTGTCTGCTCTCTGCCTGTTGCTCTCTCCATCACCCACCTGTGACAGTAGCAAAGCTGATGACCTCCTCCCCATTCCCTGGAGCCACACTCCCTGGCTGTAGTCTCCGGAGGGCTCTGGTCAGCACTGCCTGGGGTGGAGGATGAGTTATTCTGGGACGACTGGTCAGGTGCAACCCCTCCAGGATTTGCTGCTTGGCTAGCTCCAGCACCAGAGCTCGTTCTGCTTGGGGTGCCAGTTTGGAGCCCCCACAGGAGGGACACACAGACCCTGTCCCCTGTGCCCGCACCAATGTCCACAGCAGCACCAGCCAGAGCTGGACATCAGGGAGCCCCATGCTCCTGGTGAATGGCCCTGGTTCGGGAGCCTCGGATGGCAGTTGCTCCGTCTGTTGAGTCTGATTGCTGGGGGCCAATGAAGGCACAGTGACAGCAGACACCACTGCCACACCCACCCTTGGCCAAGGGTAGAGCCACCTGTCTTCTATTGCCTGGGACTCAGGAAGGCTGAAAGTAGATCATCTGATGGATAGCTGTGCTTGACCCTCACAGCTCATGTCTGGCTACTGACCTGGGGCCTCTTTAGAGCCAGCTGCCTGGGGCTTCCAAACCTAGTGGTCAGCCAGCCGACCTACCCTCTGAGTCCCAGGATTGGCCAGCTGTGCTGCCCATCAGGCCCCTGCAGGGGGTGGAGGTCCTCCTCCCCACCAGCTCAGGTTTCACCATCTGGCCATGGTGACTGGGCCTGAAGTAGGGGTATGGGGGTGGGGGGGTGCAATGTGGACACGCATGATGCAAGAAAGAGGATGATTTCACATGCTCAGTCCCCAAGGTCTGGAACTCAGGGGAGGGAACGCCTTATGAGCCAGGTGGGGAAGGGCAATTTTCCCTCATACCTCTAGTCTTTCTAGCTTCACCACTGCTGCAGCAGTTTCCATGAGGCAGCTGTGAGCTCCAGTGGGTATTTCTCTGGGGCCCTTAGGCCAGAAGGAAAATTCTGGTCTCTTTATTTCTAGCATTGATGTTGGGACAGGGGTGAGGGGTTGGGTGGGTCGGAGAATGGAACCCTCTTGCTCAGGCCCAGATGGCAGTGCCACGAGGCACAGAAGTCACCCCCTGACCCTGCCTGTGCTGGCCGCCCAGAGTCCAGTTGGCCTGCAGCATGATGTGGAGGAGGGCCAGAGCGGGGGGGTTGGGGTGGGGAATGTGTTCCTGTGATGTCTGGGGAAGCCCAGAGAGGTGGTGGTGGTGGTGATGCAATCTTGCACAGGGCAGAGTCCACCAGGACTGTCAAGGGGCATGACACTTGGGAGGGCATATACCCAGCTGCCACTTCTCTTTCAAGTGACTGTGAGAGTTGCCTAAATTTGGGGCATCCTAGAAGTAGTGCCAGGTCTTTTTTTTCTTAAATTTTTGGAATTTAAATTTTATTTTATTTTATTTAGGTAAGGTCTCAATCTGTTGTCCAGGCTGGAGTGCAGTGGCACAATCATTGCTCACTGCAGCCTTGAACTCCTGGGCTCAGGCAATCGTTCTGCCTCAGCCTCCTTAGTAGCTGGGACTTCAGGTGCACACCACCACACCTGAATAATTTTTAAATTTTTCATAGAGATGGGGTCTTGCTATGTTGCCCAGGCTGGTCTTGAACTCCTGGGCCCAAGCAATCCACTTGCCTTAGCCTCCTAAAGTGCTGAGGTTATAGGCGTGAGCCACTGCACCACCCTTCAGGCCTATTAATGGGGGTAGAAAATGGAGCTTTAAGAGCTATTGACAACAAAGCAAGGCAAGTACAGCAGTCTTGGTTCCCAGTCTCAGCCATCCTGACCACATTTCCTCACTGGCTTTATTTTTTATTTTAGTTTTTATATTTTTGAGACAGGGTCTCACTTTGTCATCCAGGCTGGAGTGTGGTGGCCTGGGTCACTGCAGCCTCGACCTCCCGGGTTAAGTGATTCTTCCACCTCAGCCTCCAGAGTAGCTAAGTCTACAAGTGCGTGCCACCACGCCAGGCTAATTTATTTTTTATTCTTTTGTAGAGACAGGGTCTTGTTGTATTGCCCAGGGTGATCTCAAGTGATCCTCTCACCTCAGCCTCCCAAGGTGCTAGGATTATAGACATGAGCCACTGCACCCAGTCCTCACTGGCTTTAAATGGGGGGACCCAGACCCCTCCACCTTGAATTCATGAGGGTGGGCCTCATGCTAGCTTTTCTCCTTAGTTTCTCCAAGAAGCTTGACGGGGAGAAAGCTGTGGGGGAAGTGGGTGTGATTTGGAAATGCGTCCTTACTCCACTTTGTTCATCTCCCCTCTATTTAGATGATGGGGGCTGTCAAGAGAGACTATTAGATCTGGGGAACTGGGGTCCTACTTGGAGGGCTGGGCCCCAGTACCACCAGTGTCCACCATGTGGCAGTGCCGTGCCTCTGGACAGCAGCTGGCTTGTAGCTGGCTGGAGCTTCCCAGGGACAGGGAAGGGGCAGCTCTGGGAAATGCAGCAATGAAGAGTGCTCCTTGACCTCTCCCTCTGGGGACCCTGCCTCACCCACAAGAGACAGGGACACGCTGGTTCCTCTGTTCTTTCCCCATCACACTGCCAGAGAAGAGAGACTGTCTTCAGGATCCACATCACTGCTACCTTTGGTTTTGGACTTCCTCATACAAACACGTGTCAATGGAGCTTGGTGATGTACCAGGCTTTTCCTAGAACCTCAGGGCACTATTTGGTGGGGGTGGAGTGGGGTGGGGGCGCACTGAGACACTTAGATCTTCCTGTCCACCCTTCATTTCTCCCCACGTTCTGAAACACATTCAAGAGCTCTGTCCAGTGTTCTCAGCTCCCAACTCCCATTCTGTTGGTCGGGCTGGTAAATGACAGCCCTCTACCCCCTCTGGTCTGGAACATCAGGTCGGCAAAGCAGAGGTATCTATCCATGGTGGTGCCTCAGAAGGCTTACCTGTTGGTATCAGTAGGCAGTCGGGGAAGTGACAAGAAGTGGCTGCAGGAGTCACTGACCCCATCTCTCCCCACCCTCACTGTCAAGTGCCCCCAATTTCCAGCTCTTCCCACCTCCTTGCTGCTGCGCCTGGCCTGGCCCTACCTCCCCACTGACACTTACGTCAGAGCTCAGCTATAAATACGCTCTTAGCATCTTAGTCACTTTTCCCAAGAAGTGCTCCTGGGTTATAAATACCCCAGCCATCTGCCTCACTGCCTGCCCTACCACCAACCTGGTTGGGGGCTGGGGGATAGCGATAGGCTTGGGGGTGAGTAAGGAAGTAGAAGACAGGCTTGGGGGTGGGTAAGGAAGTAGAATAAGCGAAACGGGAGTGGTTATCTTGCTCAAATGAGAAAAGCCTGAAGGAGTCCAGAGGCAGGAGCTAGGAAGCTCTAGGAGAAAATGTTTGAAGGAGGCAGACCCACTCTTTCCCCTTTTTACAAAAGGCAGAGCCAAAACAGAAAGGGAATAATGATGATCCTGTTTTTATTTAAAAGTAGGCTATTTTGGGCGCGGTGGGTGGCTCACACCTGTAATCCCAGCACTTTGGGAGGCCGAGACGGGCGAATCATGAGGTCAGGAGATTGAGACCATCCTGGCTAATGCGGTGAAATCCCGTCTCTACTAAAAACACAAAAAAATTAGCCGGGCGTGGTGACGGGCGCCTGTAGTCCCAGCTACTAGGGAGGCTGAGGCAGGAGAATGGCGTTAACCCGGGAGGCGGAGTTTGCAGTGAGCGGAGATTGCGCCACTGCACTCCAACCTGGGTGACAGAGTGAGACTCCGTCGCAAAAAAAAAAAAAAAAAAAAAAGGAGGCTATTTTGTTCATCATGGATTTTTTGCATTAATTTTGACTTTTAAAAAATTACATTAGGCCGGGCGCGGTGGCTCAAGCCTGTAATCCCAGCACTTTGGGAGGCCGAGGCGGGTGGATCACGAGGTCAGGAGATCGAGACCATCCTGGCTAACACAGTGAAACCCTGTCTCTACTAAAAATACAAAAAAACTAGCTGGCCGTGGTGGCAGGCGCCTGTAGTCCCAGCTACTCGGAGGCTGAGGCGTGAGAATGGCGTGAACCCGGGAGGCAGAGCTTGCAGTGAGCTGAGGTCGCGCCACTGCACTCCAGCCTGGGTGACAGAGTGAGACTCCCTCTCAAAAAAAAAAAAAAAAAAAAATTACATTAAAGTCCTATCTTGATTAATAAATTTTTCACCACCCCCTTAAAATTTAGCACCCCCGCCAGGTGAATGACTCACTTTGCTTTATCCCAGTCTTGGCCCTGGGAACTAAGCTGTAGTTGGGAAGGAGGTTAGATCTGGGGGCCGGGGGTGTGTGGGGGAGACACCAGAAGGCCTCCTTAGATTCTCTTTAGGTGAAGGTCTCCTCAAGTCAAAGGTGGAATAACATCCATGGGTTGCTCAGGAAGCCCTTGAGCTCGGATTTACAGTCCCCCAGGCAGTCCTTTTCAGACTTTCTCCTCTAGGGTTCCTATTTCAGGGACCTCTTACCCTCATAGGAGGGGGTTATAAGCTGAGCAAACACAGACATCACATTTACCAAAGAACACATGGGTTTTGCGCAAACTCGGCCTTGGGTTGCAGACAATATCGACCTCGTGGTTCAGGACTGTCCAGCCAAAGGGAGGAGATGTGGGGGAGGAAGGGCAAAGGTCTAAAAAAGACCCAGTCTCAGAGCAAATGCCACCCTCTCCTCATCCAGGCCTTCCTCTTCTCCCTGTCCCACTCCAGCAGCCCTTGCCTATTCCAGATTCCAGGCAGGATTCCTGGGTGGAGCACTGGGGGCGGGTGAAAGAAAGGCAAGTCAGAGGTCCTGATGGGCAGCTCTGAGCGTGCCTCTGCCTCCCACACTTGCGTGCCCACAGCTGGTCAGTTTACTGGGTGACTAAGTATCGGTGCCTAAGAAAGAAGAGGCATAAAGTGTGAGATGGATACAATAGCTCAGTCCTGAGGAGACCATGTGAAGAGAGAGCAGAGTAGGCAGACTACAGCATAGGCAGGCAGGTTCTGTGTCATCTGGGGTGCCAGTTAGGGCCCTTGTAGGAGATAGAGGACCATTCAGCTGTCTGGTTTTGCTTCATCAAGAGAACTTAGTGAAGGAATTATTTACAGAGGTATAGGCAGAGTTAAGGGAACCAGTAAGAGATGTTGAGGCCCCAGGGACTAGCAAGATAGAAAGCCTTTAGGACCCCCTAGTGTTGAAACAGTGATAGCAGAATGTAGGCAGAGTTGGGGCCATGGAAGTGGGTAGCCAGGCTACTAGTGTAGGGACACAGAATAGCCACAGTTACAGAGAACCATGGCACCTATGCAGAGAGGGAGCAGGGATAAGAAATGCCCTGACCTCAGCAGGAAGCCAGAGGGCAGGGGAGCTCAGGTGATAGAGCTCAGGCAAGTCAGCCCTTAAGGGCAAAGAGAAAGGCAGAGAAGGACAAAAAATGGATGAGGGTATGCAAAGAGACCTTTAGCAGTTCACCTGGACAAGAAAGAAGGAAAGGGGCTCACAACAAAGAGGAGGGTACGTAAGCCTCTATTTTGGGCAGCAGTGATCTAAACTTTGGTGAATCCAAAGAAGGGGCTCTCTGGAGATCCACAAAAATCGGGGAAAGGGGCTGTGTCAACTCATCTTGGAGTGGGGACCATCGAGTGGAAAGGACAGGAAGGCATAGTGGGTTATGGGGTCAATTAAAGGTGAGATAAGGGTGTCTTTGCCTGGGAACCAGATGGCCTTGCTCATCATTGGAGATGGGTCTGAGTCCCTGGAGTCGGGGTTAAGCACGTGAGGCTAGCGGGATGGATCATGCCCTAGGAAAGAGGGTAGTGGTCAGGAAGATGGTACAGTGACTCTTTTTAGATGAAGGTTTCCTCAAGTCAAAGGTGGGGTAATTTCCATAAGATGCTTAGGAAGAGGGAGTCCACATTCTGGACAGAGAATGAGGTCATTCCCTCCTCTCAAGGAAGTGCACTTCCGTGGGGGAGTGTTTTCCCACACCCCCTTGGGCTGCCCATACTACACATAGACTAACTGCACCCGCAGGCCTCTACTACCATGTCAGGTATGTCAGTCTTGACAATGTTGCTGTCCCTGTCATAGTAGAGCAGAGACAGGGGGCGCCGGGCTGTGGGTACACAGCATGAGCCCCCTCCAGTGGTGCCTGCAGCTGTGTTGGCCTTGAGAAGATTGAGCACTGCAGTGTGAAAGGAGGCCGCAATTCCAGGCATGCCGGCTACATGTAGTGGGCACTGCCCTATGCAGAAGTTCATGGCGTAGCCCTCAGGCTGGATGATCCAGTCGTGCCAGCCAATCTCACGGAAGTCCACAAAAAACTCTTGTCGACAGCACATCCTGGATCCTTCTTGGCAGTCGATGCCTCGTCGGTGAATCCGGTGTTTGCCCCCAACTCTCACCCGGGCTGCCACAAACGGCCTATGGGCAGCTCCACCCAGGATGACTGAGCTCTGGGCTACCTGGCCTTCAGGTACCAGCTCCAGGGTCAGGTGCCCCTGGCTATAGGCAGCTTGAGCTTCAGGCCCCAGGAGGAGTTGATGCCAGCCACTGGCATCCACCTCTAGCAGGTACTGAGTAGCCAAGGTGAGGTTGGTATTATGTGGACCCAGCACAAGGACCCTCACTTTCAAGGTCCAAGTGGTATTGGAAGGGAGCTGCACAAAGAACATGAGACTAGCCTGCTGGACCTCCCTGTCACCAGCAGTTCTATCAGAGGAGAAGTGAAAATCAAGACGAGTCTTGTTGATGGTGGAGAGGCCTGTGGACATAAGAAGCGCCAGTCATTGCGGCCTTCTGAGTGTCACTTCTACCAACTATTTCTCTATACTCAGCATTCTTGAGCTGTCTATAGCACTTGGCATTTGCTACAGTTTAAACATGTCCTCCAAAGTTCGTGTGCTGGAAACTGGATCTCCAATGCAGTGGTGTTGGGAAGTGGGGCCTAATGGGAGGTGTTTGGGTCATGGGAACACCACCTTCATGAATGGATTAATGCCCTTATCTTGGGAATGGGTTCCTTATAAAAGGATAAGTTTAATTCTCCTCAGCCCCACCCTCTCTTTGCCCTTCTGCCATGGAATAACACAGTGAGAAGCAAGAAGGCCCTCGCCAGATGCCAGCCCCTTGATCTTGGACTTCCCAGCCACCATAATGATGAGTTAATACATTTCTGCTCATTATAAATGACCTAGTCTGTGGTATTCTGTTATACCAGCACAAAATGGACTAAGACAGCACTGTTGACAATCCTTTCCTTCCTGAAAATCTTTTCTCTCTTGGCTTCCATGACACAACTCTGTTATAATTCTTCCCTGGTTTTCTTTGCTGGCTTTTCTTTCTGTGACCATCCCTTCAATATCAGAGTTTTCCAAGGTCTGTCTTGGACTTCCATTTCCTTCCAGTTCACATTAAGGTAGCTCTTAATTAGACTCATGGTCAAGCAACACAATTTTTTTTTTTTTTTTAGATGGAGTCTCACTCTGTCGCCTAGGCTGGAGTGCAGTCATGTGATCTCAGGCTGGTCTTGAACTCCTGACCTCAGGTGATTCGCCCTCCTCAGCCTCCCAAAGTGCTGGGATTACAGGCGTGAGCCATTGCGCCTGGCCAATATGTATATATATATTTTTAATCAATTTTTCTCAACCTGAAAAATCATTATTTTCCTTCCTATATACCCCCTTTCCATTCTTGGTGGTGCCACTACCCTCCTTATCACCTGTAAAAACTCTAGGATCAGCCAGGTGCGGTGGGTGGCTCACGTCTGTAATCCCAGCACTTTGGGAGGCCGAGGCAGTTGGATCACCTGAGGTCAGGAGTTTGAGACAAGCCTGGCCAAGATGGTGAAACCCCATCTCTACTAAAAATACAAAAATTAGCCAAGTATGGTGGTGGGCGCCTGTAATCCCAGCTACTTGGGAGGCTGAGGCAGGAGAATCGCTTGAACCTGGGAGGCAGAGGTTGCAGTGAGCCGAGATCACACCATTGCACTCCATCTTGAGTGACAGAGCAAGGCTCTGCTTAAAAACAAACAAACAAACAAACAAACAACTCTATGATTACTTTCTTCACTCCCCATATACCTTGTCTCACCAGAATTGTTCTAATGTCTGCACATTTCTTTATATCCCTATTACTACTGCCCAGTTGCCTCTTATCATCCCTCACCTTCCTTGCTGAACATCTTAGTTGGTTTCTGTTCTCTCCGCTCTACAGAAATTGCACGTGTCAAGATCACCAACACCTTCCACAGCAAATCTATCCATTTATATTCATCTGACTTGGCCTTTAAGTAGTGTTTGACACAGTTAACCACTCCCTCCTTCTTATATATTTTCTTCTCCTGGCTTTTATAACACTGGTCACTCTATCTTTTTCTCCTCTATTGACAGCTCCTCTTTGTTGGCCTAACCTTTAAATGTTGGAAGTCAGGCCAGGCGTGGTGGCTTACACCTGTAATCCCAGAACTTTGGGAGACTGAGGTGGATGGATTGCTTGAGTCCAGGAGTTTGAGATCAGTGAGATCAGCCTGGGCAACTTGGCAAAACTCTGTCTCTACAAAAAATACAAAATTACCCAGGTGTGGTAGTGTACACCTGTAGTCCCAGCTACTAGGGAGGGCTAAGGTGGAAGGATTGCTTGACCCTGGGAGATCAAAGCTATAGTGAGACATTAACGTACCACTGCACTCCAGGCTGGGCAACAAAGTGAGACCCTGTCTTAAATCAATCAATCAATTAATCAAGTCCTAAGCTCCCTCCTCATCTCTATCTGTACCCTCTCCCAGAATGATCATCCATTCCATGGCTTTCAATTCCACCTATATGCAGATCACTTCCAAATGTATATCTCTGGTCCTGACCTCTCCCTGAACCCTAGCCTTGCATGTCCAAGTGCCTATCTGATACTTGACTTGGACATCCAATAATATTTCAATCTCTTCTTTTTTGTAATTAAAAAAATTTTTTAGGCCGGGTGTGGTGGCTCACGCCTGTAATCCCAGCACTTTGGGAGGCCAAGGTGGGTGGATCACCTGAGGTCAGGAGTTCGATACCAGCCTGGCCAATATGGTGAAACCCTGTCTCTACTAAAAATACAAAAAATCAACCGGGATTCCCAGCTACTCGGGAGGCTGAGGCAGGAGAATCGCTTGAACCCAGGAGGCGGAGGTTACAGTGAGCTGACATTGTGCCGCTGCACTCCACCCTGGGCAACACAGCGAGACTCTCTCTCAAAAAAAAAAAAAAAAACCCCACCAAAAATTAGCCAGTCATGGTGCAGGCATCTATAATCCCAGCTACTTGGAAGGCTGAGGCAGGAGAATCGCTTGAACCTGGGAGGCGGAAGTTGCAGTGAGATGAGATCGTGCCATTGCACTCTAGCCTGGATGACAGAGCGAGATTCTGTCTCCAAAAAAAAAAAAAAAATTTTACTTGGAGTTGGGGGCGATTCTCACTATGCTACCCAGGTTGGTCTTGAACCCCTGGCCTTAAGTGATCCTCTCACCTCAGCCTGAGATCACAGGCATGAGTCAATAGGCCCAACCTCAATCCTGTACAAGGAAGTCTAAATGTATCCCTCCAACCCAAACCTGTCCCTTCTCCAAACTTCTCCTCTGTAAATGCATTGCTTAAGGCAAAATCTTGATCGTGTTTATCCCCTACTTTGAAATTATCTGAAAGTTTTCTCAACTCTACTTCTAATTCATAATACAATTTCACTTCTCCCCACCTCCTCTACTACACATTAGTCCAACTCACAACCATCTTTTTCTTTAACTATAGCTTTCGTTCACTCAAGTGATTCACTCTTGCCCTCCAAACCGTTCTCCAAATATCAGTCAGTGATCTTCTTATAAATCTGATTAGTTTTATCTTCTCAGCTTAAAACACTTCGAAGTCTTCCCCTTGCTCTTTGGATAAAATCTAAACTCCTTGAAATAGAAAACTTGTTTGACACTTAACTACTACATTCTGCCTATACGGGCCTTTTTCTGTTCCTCAGATTCACCAAACATAAAGCCATCTCACAGCCTTTACACTTGCTAGTCCCTTTCCCTGGAACGTCTTTCCAAGATCTTTGAATGACTGATTTCTTTTTGGCATTCAGTTCAGATGTCTCCTCCTCAGAAAGGCTTCAGGCTTCCTTCCTGATCTATCTAAAGCAGCCTTCAGCCAGGCGTGGTGGCACATGCCTGTAATCATAGCACTATGGGAGGTCAAGGTGGGAGGACTGCTTGAGGCCAGGAGTTTGAGACCAACTGGGCAACACAGTGAGATCCTGTCTCTACAATAAGTAAAAAAATATATAAATAAATAAATAATAGCTGGGCACGGAGCAACACACCTGTAATCCCAGCTACTTGGGAGAATCACTTGAACCCAGAAGGTCAAAACTGCAGTGAGCCAAGATCATGCCACTGCATTCTAGCCTGGGCAACAGAGCGAGACTGTCTCAAAAATAAAATAAAATGAAATAAAATAAAATAAAACGTAATAAAATAAAATAAAATAAAAGTAGCCTTCAATTCTACCTCCATCTCTCTAATACATCATCCTGCTTAATTGTTTGCATAGCCATTATCATGCTCTGTAATCAGTGTGGTTCTTTTTTTTTCTGAGACAGAGTCTTGCTCTGTCACCCAAGCTAGATTGCAGTGGCACGATCTTGGCTCACTGCAACCTCCACCTCCTCAGTTCAAGCAATTCTCCTGCCTCAGCCTCCCGAGTAGCTGTGATTACAGACATGCACCACCACGCCCTGCTAATTTTTGTATTTTTAGTAAAGACGGGATTTTGCCATGTTGGCCAGGCCGCTCCCGAACTCCTGACCTTGTGATCCTTCTGCCTTGGCCTCCCAAAGTGGTGGGATTACAGGCATGAGCCACCAAGCCCGGTTCAGTGTGGTTCTTCGTGCATTTGTTTACTAAGAATTTCTCCTACCCCTCCTTCTTCCCTGCAGCTAGAATGTAAGCTCCATGAAAACAGCAGTTGTGCCTGTATGGTTCACCATTGTATCCCTAGTACTTGGTATTTAGTAAGCACTCAATAAACACTTGTTGAGACCAGGTGTGGTGGGCTCACACCTGTAATCCCTGCACTTTGGGAGGCCGACATGGGTGGATCACTTGAGGTCATGAGGTCATGAATTTGAGATCAGCCTGGCCAACATGGTGAAATGCCGTTTCTACTAAACATACAAAAATTAGCTGAGTGTGGTGGCATGCACCTGAAGTCCCAGCTACTCAGGAGGCTGAGGCAGGAGAATTGCTTGAACTCGGGAGGCAAAGGTTGCAGTAAGCAGAGATCACACCACTGCACTCCAGCCTGGGTGACAGAGCCAGGCTCCATCTCAAAAACAAACAAACAAACAAACAAACAGAATACTTGTTGAATGGTCTTTCATTTCTTTAATTCTTTTATGTTAACATCAGCATTCTTTTCTCAAAACACGGATGGATCATAAAATTCATTGTCTCAAAAACGTTATTAGTTAATAAAGTCCTAACTCTTTTAGGACGCAGTTAAATATCCATTGTAATTTGGCCTTAGCTACTTTTTTTTTTTTTTTTTAAGTAAAAAATGCTTTATGAGGCCAGGTGTGGTGGCTCATGCCTGTAATCCCAGCACTTTGGGAGGCCGAGGCAGGCGGATCACCTGAGGTCGGGAGTTCCAGATAAGCCTGACTAATGTGGAGAAACCCCATCTCTACTAAAAATACAAAATTGACTGGGTGTGGTGGCACGTGCCTGTAATCCCAGCT